AAATTATATGAAAAAATGGAAGGAAAATATTCATATGTTTAGCAGAAAATTCGTCTTTTATCAAAGGATATTTGGCAACGCCTGAAGGTTCATACGGGGCTTTTCCTTAGTACGGCAGAATAGTTCAGGTCACCAAAGCTCAAAAAATAACGTCTGGTCTAGCGTGAATGGTCGTGTCAGACGAGCGAGTTCAATGCATTACAAATGACAAATCCTCGGAAAAAAGTTCTGAGTGGTATTATTATAAGTTCTCTTGGAGTGTCCACCTGGAGTGCCCACTTGCACTTGACCTATCGGCGATTGGTTGACCCCGCCCATCAATATCCCTTGACAGGGTACGGTGGCAGTCCCTTGACATCCCTGTGCAAAGGAAAAACGCCGTGTAAACAGCATTCGCGTGTTGCCAAATCATCCATAAGCTCTCTGACCTTTATATTTTCATTCTTTGTTATAATGGACTACTAGACAAGGTACAAATTTAAGCAATCTGATATATGTTTCTTAACCAGAATTTCACGTAGAACACGACTCACACAGCGAAAATTACTGCTTTCACAAAAAATGGATAACAAACAAAAGGGCTAAAAAACAAAAAACACAAAATGTATGTTTCGGGATAGTTTTAAACCTCCCCCCCCCCTTCGACCAGGAAACACAAATTTACTTAAAATTTGATCGAGGAAGGGGTTGAAACTACCCCTAGACAGCCCAGACTTTGTGTTTGTTGTTTTCAGTGGCGTGGCGTGCTTTGCGATTTATCGATCGATTGCCATTTAAACTTATGGAAAAGAATCGATAAACAGGGTTTTTGCAACGAACACCTCAATGGTTGCCTCTTTACTATAGCTTCAAATGGGGAAATATCGATGATCGATTGTTCACGCCACGCCACTGGTTGTGTTTTAGCCTTGGTTACCCGTTTTCTCGTGTTTTCTAGCTGAATTATCACAGCCCTGCGTTTTTTTGGTCATGTCATATTATTGCATGGTATGTCTTGATTGATACCTGTATATTTTTCAGCGCTGAATTTGGGAAAAATATTCAAAAAATTCCATCATGTCAGGATTTTCCGCAAATTCAAAATTCTGGTGTTTTGTGGGTCAGAGAAAACGTGCTAAGAAAAAACGCCGTATAAACATTCTAGAGTTGCCAAATTTCCTTCGATAAAATGTTCATTTTTGAGGAAAGTTGTGAATGTCCTCCCTTCACATTTCAGAATCTTCGCGTGAAATTGCGAACAAAATCATCCGAAAAATTGGGAGGAAATTATTCCCCAGTTTACCAGAAAATTCGCGTTTTGTGAAGGGAAATTTGGCAACGCCTGAAGGTTCATGCGGCGTTTTCCCTTAGCACGGGATTTCAGTATAAGAGTATTGTTCTTCACTGGAAAAAAAAAAAAACACATGGGATCTAGAGTCCAGACTCTTGAAAATATTGACAAGAAAAAATACTCTTGGTTCAATCAGATTTAAGCTTAAATCAAAAGGAAATCCGTGCTAATTAAGAGGCTTGGTTCTTGATTTAAGATTAAATCTGATTGAATCAAGAGTATTTTTCTTGTTAATGTTTTCAAGAGTCTGGACTCTAGATCCAATGTGGTTTTTTTTCCAGTGTTTCTCAGGAAATCCGCACTAAATTGTAAGAACTTCGGCAACGTCGGGACGTCCATACTCCGTTTCTCCTTCACGCGCGGCAGGTTCTGCAAGCACGATTTCGAGAGCTCTCGACTTCAACCTTTTTCGAGCACCCTACAACCGAACTCATCGGGTATCGATCATTCGCATTACTCTCCGCCGAGAAACAATTTGCAGTGCAGTCATGTCGGGCCGAGCGCAATCCCGGGTC